CCGGGGGTCAGGTGGAACCACCTGCGCTTGGCCGCATCCCCCCGCCCTGAGGACTGCAGCGGGAAGCGCTGCCCGTCGCGTGAGTCGCGCTGCGCGGAAGATGTTCAGCGGCCTTTGGCGGCCGAGGTCTGTTTTCGGTTCACTTCACGTAATTTCTGGTCTGGGTTCAGCACGTCCGAGGTGTTGGCGTGTGGTGGAGAGGGAACCGATGTTGAACTTGGCTGCAGAACCAAGCGCACCTGCTGTCTCGAGCCCTGTTCTGAACCCGAGAAGATGGAACATGCAGGGGCTCTTGTCTTGCTTATCGTTGAAAAAAAATTAAATCCGGGTTGTCCCCCTTAGCATGTGGGAAGATGCTCCTTGCCTTAAAGACCTTCTCGTGGAACGCAGCCATCTGTGCCTTTGGTGTCCAACAGGTGCTTCTGGAGTCCAGTTTGTTTTTGTGTTGGACGTTTCACAGACTCCAGCTCGGTCTGAAATGGTTCATGTCAGGAAAACCCGCAGCTTTTAGAATAAGGAATTTCGCTTGTCACAGAATAATGTTTTTGGGGAGGATTCTCCACAGATAATCTAGTCCAAATCCCTGCTCAGAGCCGGGCCTGTTTAGACCAGGTTGTTCAGCGTCCTGCGTTTTCAGTTTTGAGATTCCATAAGCTCTCTGGGCAGCTTATTCCAATGCCTAAGCATTTTCTTTGTGGATATTTTTTTCCTGATATGTGATTGGGATTTCCCTTCCTATGACTTGTCTCTGTTGTCTCTTCACGTTTAAATCTTGGAGGAAAGTCTGGTTCTGTCTAACCTGTAATTTCCCATTAGGCAGTTCAAGCCAGCAGCAAGACCAGTCCTTAGCACAGGCCTTTTAAGATTAACAAACCCAGTTCTCTCAGCCTCAACTCTGGCATCTGAGCTGGCTGTCTCATTTTTTTGTCAGTGAAAGCTTAACTTTCAGCTCACCTTTGTCATATATATTGTGTTTCCTGAGCAATATGCTAGATACAGTCTTCGATCCAGATTTGTTTTCTCAAACTACATTAGGATGGCTTTCTGGAAGAGTCTCTTGTTTTTAACAGACAAACAAAAGTTTAGTATTACTTTAATATCTTTGGGTTTATCTTCTAAAATGCCGTCTTAAAACAACAGAAAATGAACAGCAGAAAGGTTTAATTTTTTTTTTTTTAATACCAGTTACTGTTTTCAGATTTTAAATGTTGAATAAAATATTCTGCAACTGGTATATGAGTGTATCTTCCACTTTTGTGTTTTGGCAAAGCATAGCTGATCCTTTACCAAAGGAAAAAAGACTAAATAACACAGCTAAATTACTAGTCTATAAAGCAGACAGAATAGAGCAGACATGGAGACACACACAAAACAAAAGCTTAATTGCCAGGGAGCAAATCTGATTGACAAAGCTGAGATGGGACGTGAACAAACATTATGTCTGTGGTTTTGGTTGGAATACTTGAATGGATGCTAACTCGCTCCTAACTTGTCATTTTGATTCTTTTATGAACTAGGATCGTTGTGCTCCTGCAGGGAGTGCCTACTGTATGTATACTTGGAGTTTGGGTGGGGTTTAAGGGTATGAAGAATACTACTGTTCCAGCAAAAGATAGCTTTCTTTGATGCCAGTAAGAATTGCATGTATTTAAAGACTAGAAAATACAAGTTTTTGTAAGCGGAGGTTCCTTGCTGCAGAAGAAGAGAGGCTGTAGTAGAGGCACAGTAGTAACACCATGCCATCTGCAGTGATTTGGGGCTTTATCAAAGCAACACGGGCTTTAATGGGATTTTTGTGCCAGTTTTCACTTGAAAGTATCTCTCTTTGAGATTATTTTCTTCTCATTTGATGTATAATTTTCTTAAACATCAGCTGTTATAAAAGTTGATAGAAGGCAAAAGAGGAGGAAAGGGAAGGACTACGTCTAAGTATCACCAGAGTCAGTTACCTGAGCACTGTTTTCTCAGGCTTGTTGCTCATCACGTTTGATGGAAGAGCTGCAGCTGAATTTGCTGATACCAAGGAAGAAGAACAATTGTATGTGGGTTTGTGTGCATTCTGCTTAGTTAAGTCTTGAGGAAAACAAAGTGAAAATGAGTAGCATTTACCATTCCTGAAGCACCTTGAAAGAAGTGATTAAAACCAGTAAGCGAACCCATGTTAGCTTGGACCTTGTCTTCACTGACGGAGTGAGGAAGAGTTGCCAGTACATCTTTGGAGAATATTTAGTTATGAAATTTCTAGTATTCTCCCCACCTGGGATGTATTCTTTAGTTCTTTTGAGTTTGGAAGTTTGTTGCATGCCAGTGAAACTAGAAAGGTGAACTAGTCATCAAAGCTGGGAGGGAGAGCTAAGAATAAAAATACCAGAGTGCACGTTTTGGGCAAGGAATACATGGTTTGAGAAAAACTGAGTTATACAATAAATGTCACCATAATCCTGTTTCCTGTTAATTTACAGGAATGTCATGCTTTTAAAGAAGAGATAAACCTGCTGAATAGCCAGAGCCAGACCGAATGATGGACTGATGGAGGTGTGCAGCAAAATGGGTTGAGTGAGTGCAAGAACTACCTTATTCCACTGTAAGTATGGTTTTGGCTGTAAGCTGATTTTGCCTGGGATAGAGTTAATTTCCTTCATAGTAGCTAGTGTGAGACTATGGAGTTTGTGTTCATGTTTCATTTACGTGAAGTATTGCCAGTTAATGTAGGGTAAGTATGTTTACATGGTTATCAAGGTTGGTTGATTTTTTTTTTTTCCAGGTGCTAACAGGCAGCTTCCATGAGCTGCTTTTGTAAGGGTGTGCAGAGTATCACCTGTGTGTAGTCTGGATAAGATAATGTAATGCATCACAGCAAGCTCCCCGCCTGCGTTATGGGGAAGCAGTGGCCACTGATACAGCTGTCCAGTTTTCTTTCACTCTTCCAGGAAAGTAAGAGTGGCAGTTCAAGGACATTGCTTCTAAGCAGTGACAGTGGGAGGCTAGATGGGTAAAATCTGGTCTGATAGCCTGCTTGAGTGGACGTGTGTGTTACAGTCAGGGGGCCTTCACACAGTCGTCCGTTGAACGGGGATGGCTTCTGGACTAATTCATTTTAAACCAGTCTTCTGAGACGCAGGGGGCGGGTGTCTGTGCTAAATATACCATCAAAGTCTAGAGGAAGCCTGAGACGATTGGAACCGGCAGTCTGATGCTCCTGACAAGTGTCTCAGCTAACAGAATAATCCATTCTGGGACCTGTATGCATAAAGCATTCAGATTCTTGCACCCAGCACTTTAAAATTTCAGAATGCACATTTCTATTACAATGGCGTTTAATTAGTTTTCAGTTTAGGATATTGATAACTATGACTTAATCTTGCTTTTAAAGTTGACATTATGACCGTGAAGGCATTAAAGGATTTCTTTATCCAAAAGCTTAAGATATGATACTTTCTTTTAACCTCAGCAGGGTCCAAGACGTGGCTCTGTTGCATCAATATTTCCTCCCTCCTATAAACACACATCTTCACAGCTGAAGAGGTGGCTTTTTTCTCTCCCATATCTGCTAGTGCCCAGAAAAGCTGCTGGTACTGCACACCTGCTAGTGCACCTGAAGGCCAGTTTGGAGAGAATGGAGCTTTGCTCAAGTTGATGTGTGTTCTCTGGACAGTGTATATATCTATGTGACTTGTAAATGGCCAGCTATAGTGCGATCAGTGAACTTTTTTTAACATGGTCATATTCTCACTTAAGTAATTCTCTTGTTGACTTTTCTGTCCTTCAGGATCTGATTTTGGCAGGTTTCTACAAACCTTGAGTTTTTTGTATAAATTCTTTCCCTTCTCATGTGTTTCCTAATCCCTGTCTGTACATACACCTGGCTTATTTTCCTGACTTCAGATCCTCTCATGTGTAAGAAAGTACATGTACAAATAACTCCTGTCACGTACCTTCTTGGGTAAATGTTTTGCAGTTTCTGTTGTGTGGTTCTGGTTTTCCTTCCTCCTCCTGTCATCTGTCTCTTCAATAGGTGGTTCCTTCCTAGGTCCTGGGATTTAAAGACAAATACAGGAATGTTTGACTCATTCCTGTAAATCTGCAGATGAGGAACATCATCATCCATCCTTTGTGTGCTAGACTTTAGTGTCTGAGAACTTTTTTTGTGTACAGACTGTTACAGCTTACTGGAAGCAGAACCACTCTTGGGATGGCTGTAAGCCCTGTAACCATCTCTGAGCTGCTCCTATGCCTGTCTTTTTCCTAAGCTCTGTTTGCAGGAACCTCAGATTTATGGTTGGCTTCTGGAACATGTTGACTGAAATAAGTAGACATTTGCACTGTGTAGTCTTTATTTTTCTTAAATACTCTCAAAAGAATAAATATCTCTCTGCCTCAGTTTCTACATCATTTGTGATCTGTGTTTAGATTTACTTTGGGATTCTAGCAGTTAAGCTCTGAGTAATCTAATCTTTCCAGGGCTGATTCTGTTCATTCTTGCCTTTCCCTACCCCCAGAGTGAGTGAGTGCTCCTCTAATTGAACTGTGGTCCCCTTTGTCAAGGATACTCGGGATAGGCCTCATCAAGTGCTCAGAAGGCCATCACCCAACAGTTTTCTAGTGAGTCCAGCAAAGAGCTGCGAAGACAATGAAGGGACTGAAGCATTTTCCGCATGAGGAGAGGCTGAGAGCTGAGGCTGCACAGCCTGGAAAAGAGAAGGCTCAGAGGAAGATGTCACCAATGTATAGAAATACCTGATGAGAGGATGGAGCCAGGATCTTCAGTGGTACCCAGTGAATGGAAGAGGCAATAGGCACAAATTAGAATAGAGTACATGGAAGACACATGGAATTCCACGTCAACACAAGAAAACACACACACTTACTGTGAGAATGATCAAGCACTGGAACTGGTTGCACAGAGAAGTTGCATCATCCATGGAGATAATCAAAACCCCACTGGATGTGGTCTTGGGCACGCTGCCCTGCTTGAGCAGAGCCACTGTACTATATAACCTCAGGATGGCCCTTCAGCCTCAGTGGTTTTGTGAAAAGATAGTTGTGAGTCGTGGGTATTACAGAGCCTGAGAGACAGCAGACTTTCTGATCTAACTTTCTGCAGGTGAAGCAGAAGGAACGTGGCAGTAGTTGTGGTGAGTAACACTCCTGCTAAAGAGGGAGCGTTTATCACAGTCCTCCATGAACATCCTGACCATTGGAGTATAGATTAAATCACGGGTAATGCTAATCACTGCCTCATACACTGCAAATCCCTTCCCAAATGTTTGCCTTTTCAGCCTAAATGACTTGGCAAAATTAGTACAAGTATGAAACTAGTTTGGAGTGATGGAAACTGTGAGGGGTAAATGGTTGTCTAGCCCTGAGTAAATTCTGTTCTTCAGGAGTTAGGATGGTACAATGTACCATTGTCTTCTAAATGACTTCAACCAAATTGTGACACTTTCTCTGTATTTATTTCCATTATTTTTCTAAGGGATGCTGTAAAATAGGTTTTCAGAGTAATTGCATAAAACCCCTAAAACCTAGAAAGCACTTTTTCCTATTTTCATTTCGTAATCTATCAAAGATGAGTACCTGTTCTTTTCTGAGTTATGATTGCATATTAAAACAAAAGATTTAAGACATTTTGAAAACAAGCCTGTGATAAGTTAAGATTCGCTGCCACCTAGTGGAACATTGCAAATTTTATAGTGTTCTAAAACTTGATTAAATAAGGTTTGGAGAAGATAGTCCACAGGTATTTATGGCTGACATAGAGATTCCAAGTGGCAGCAAAGGATACTAGATTTCTTTTTTGGAGTAGCTTATAGTAATTATTCTTTATTTCAGAAGTGCAACTTTTTTATTCCTCATTTATGGTGGAACATGTGAGATGTACCTGCTGACTTCTAACCTTTGAATACCAAACCAGCTTATTATTAATGAAACACTTGCAAACTACAAAGGCTGTTATACTTTTGTGGCAAATACTGTAATTACTAGTCCTTACTAGTTCCTCTAGTAATGTGTAATAGTTCCTTACTAGTAAGTTCAACTTACTAGTTCCTCTCTGTAATATGTTGTTTATATATTATTTCAGAATATGTTAATAGTGTTTTGTGTGATGGGCAGGGTGTCTTCTAATCTTGAGGCTGGTACTAAGTATGAAACTTCACCTAGTTTTCCTGAGAAATTTATATCAATACACTGTTTGACTAAAAATTACTGCTTTAGTTGAGAGGCATTTCTGTCAGTGTCACAATGAAAATGGAAAGCTGGGTTTGCAGAACCAGAAAATACATTCCAGATGCCAAAAACTTACCACAATGCAGCTTTTATCTAACGTGGGGAGGAGTATCTGCAGCCCTGATGTGGGATGTCAGATCAGTGGAGCGAGAGGAGAGCTGTGGTCGCTTTGCCATTTCCCAGCAAATCCGTGCTTGTAGGACAGATAAACCACCTGGTTACTTAGGGCTGGTTGCTGCAGAGTCTGGGCTTTGCAGGGGTGATTTAGTTTTGTCAGTGCTGGTGGAACTTGCCAGGTATGGTTGTGTGCCATTCTTAGTAGTTTCTGTTGCTCAAGAAAATGATTTTCAGCATTAAAGCTTTTGTTGATATGTGTCCTTTATTAATTAATAGATTATGAGAACGAAAGAGGGCTCTGGTGGTAATCACTGGGGTCTTCTGTACTATATGTCATGAGACATCCTTGAATTCTCATTCAGTCATGGAGGGTTGTTTTGCTTTTTTATTTAAATAAATAAATAAATTCAACCTTGATGTAAAGATTTCCAGACATGGGCAAAATTCCAAGCCTGTGCAGAGTTCCTCAAACGATTTCTAATTACCAGAAACCTGCACTTTATTCCTTGTCTTAATTTTTTAGGTATCCAGAGTGACATCTTTCTACTATCTTTACTTAGTAGAATGACACTTCATTATGTTTCTTTTGCTTATGCAGGTAGTGTTGATCATATCATTACTTTACCTCTTGGTGCACTAAATGATGGTAGAGAGAGGAGAACCCTGAATAGTTACCTTGTAAATATAATGAATGGTCATTAGAGTGAACTCAATTACCAGTGGATATAGTAAAATTATGGGGTATAATCAGGATAAAAACAGCATCACACATTCAAAGCTGCATTGTCAGCTTCCTGCTTTTCCATGATTTTATCAACTAAGAGTCCTGTGAGATATTTAATAATTTTGAAATAGATTTTGACAGTTTAGGAGCATTATGAAGAGCTTTTTTGTTATAAGATGGTGCATGCAGCTCTTAAACTGTGAGACTTTGTGTTCGTTACAATTTTGAAAAAGAACAACTTCTTTTTATTCAGCTTGTAGAATGTCAGTTTACCTTTTTGGTGTAGTGATTGTCACAGATTTCTTTGTATCTGGTTTGCCCTATCACTAAGTTATTTGGAAAATCCAGGATTCGAACTGCTGCAGGGCAGCCTGGCTATGACAAAGGAACCTCTGGCAGTCTGCTGTAACATGTGACTAGTCAAGTAGGGCGTGTCATAAAAGCATGACCTGAGCTCCAGATGTTTTTACCTGTTTTTTCCAATCAGTTGTGTATTCGTAAAACCCAAAGTTTGG